AAATAAACAACAAGTCCTTGTGGGTCAGTCATCACCCGGGAGCAAGAAGCGACCGACTGATCTCAGCTGCCCTTCCGAGGAGGTCGATGAAAATGTTTTATCCTGCAGGTGCAGGCGTTAAAATGAGGGCAAAACCAGCGCAGGACACAAGCGCGGAGCCAACACAGGATTTGTCTCTCTCGGAGCTGTAGCTGGCCCACGGCATCCACACCACGCCGCGGGAAAATACTCCCCTTTTCCCTTTAAACGGCCATGGAAGTAAAAACCGGGGTTGGTAATTAGCGCACATACCCTCAGACAGCTGCTTTATTTTAGAAAGATTTGGACTTGTTACAAAATTTCTTGAATAATTTACAACCTTTGGAGAACAAAGCAAAAATATAATAAAAATAAGAAGTATGGCTGAAAATTGCATTATCTGGGGTTGTTCTAAAGGGACATGTGGGGGAGATGCAGAGTTTTTGATTTTTGTGTTTTTGTTGGGTTTTGCTACTCAGGAAAAATTGTTTCTGCCAACTTTACTGCTTTTTCACACAGCACAAAAAGAAAAAGGGATTTTTTGTTTTCCAGAAAGATGAAGGGCAGAGTCCAGCGAGCCCAGGTTATTTAACTGTGAGGCAGAAAGCAATGTGACAGCTACCACTGCTTTATTTAAGCTCATCTTGTAGAAACCCGAGTATCACTTTGTGCCCTCCTCTTCAATTCCTTCCCCAGCAGTATCCCTTTCATGCAGTATTTTGAAGCGACGTCTCTAATGCCTCGGGCACAGCCTTGCACTGCCTGGCTTCCCAAGGCAAAGGGGGCAGCTTGACTCCGTGGCAGAAGGAAAGACCCTGGAAAAGCTTCAGCTCTCGGGATGCTTCTGCAGGAGGGAGGATGATGGCTGCAGGCCACGCTTGCTGATGGTGCAGGACACACAGAGACTCGCCCAGAAGGGATCCAAGCGCCCAGCGGCTGAAGCAGCAGCAGGAAGGAGACACTAAACTGCAAGGGTGGAAGAGCTGAGTCCAGCAAGCAGCTGTCGGAGCACGGGCGTGGAAGGCAAGGCAATTTGCACATGCAGGCTTTGAGGTTTTCAGGCCTATTAGAAACCCCGTGCGGATCAGCTCCAGGGCCCCCTTTCCCACTCCCAACACTGTCAGAATGGATGCTCAGGGAGAATGACATGTGATACACAGATCCCGCACTCCTCCCTGGGCATCATACAATAATCCTTTTCATCTGGCTCTTTTTAGGGAAAAAAAAAAGCCTATTACTTTCTTTCAGGCTATTCTGTGCTTACTATAGGCATGAACAAGTGACACATGCAGTTTGACAGAATGGGTTCATACCTTCATCATTAAAGCCCAATAAACGAAGGCGATTATTTTACACAGAAATATAGTACACAAAGCAAAAAAGTAGGCATACACATCAGCTTACCCGTTTCTACAGTCTTTCAGGGATTGAAATTACTTTTAGGAACGTGACAACTTGCTAGTAGCTAAATATCCAGCGGAGGTTGCAGACTCTCACCAAGTACATTACAGTCTTATAAAATTATCTACTGTGATAGATAGGCAGAAAAACTCACAAATGCTGCGTACTGATTCACAAGCCACCCTGAGAGAGGCCTCACCATGGAGTTCTAGCTCACTCTGTGAATTTAACCCACCAGAAATGTATTTCCTAATAGTGTGATTTATTAGACTTTTCTTCAGGGAAAAGAAGTGTCTCTGCTTGAATCATTTAAATGAGAGCTTGAGGAAAGAGCCCAGAGGCAAAAGGCAGAGAGCTACAGCCTGAGCACGAGAACACAACAGGTCTTCATGGATCTAAAGTTTACAAACCTTCTTTTCCCGAATGGTGCTCCCCAATCCAAACTGGCATCTCCCAACTTCCGCAGCGTCGCCTTCAAAATCCAGCCAGATAGACAAGGATTCCTCATGGGATAGCACTAGATCACAACTGAAACTCATCTCAAGAGCATTCTGCTAAATTCAGGAATTCCACACGGAATTCCCTGGCCCACCAATCCTTGCGAAACGACAAGAACTAAACACTGCCTTGCAGATATCTCTTGCGACACTGTCACGCCTTAACGATTTGCAGACGTAAAACTGTATATACTATAAAACAATGCATAATATATCTGCTAGAGGATTAGGAGAAAGAATGGGAAACAGCTGGGAAGCGTTGGAGTTTTCATGGGGAGCTTTCAGATTCTCCAGCAACAGAACCAGAGCCCTGGTGACGGGTTTGGGACAGGGCGGCCCAAGGGAACGCGCTGCGCCCAAGGAGCAATGCGGGATGGCCCCGGACGGCGGCGGCACCTCAAGGGAAGCCCCCACTTCCCGGGGGACATCGTCCCACGGAGCAAGGATGGCCGCCCCCCGTCCTCCTGCACCCATGGAAGAGGCGCGGGGGCCCGGAGCAGGGCTGTCCGGCTGCACAGGCTGCCTGCTCCAACGGGAAGCCTGTCCCACGCCCGCATCCCAAAGCCCGGTCTGCTGGAGGAGCTTCGCATCCGCGGCGTCCGTGCACCTATTCCATACGTCACAGCTGGCTATCAGAATTTGCAATTTAAGCAGATTTGCTCCACGTGTCTATAAGGGAAAGCCAGGAAAAAAAAAAAAAAAAAAAAAAAAAAAACCATGATCCAGCTGATGAGGAGAAGGGAACGTGTTGAGGAAGCGACGGCGGCGCCTGTGCGGGCAAGTGGGGAGCTGGGATGGGCCGGGATCGGCGGCCGGCTCATCCTGCACCCGCCTCCGCGGAGCCTGCCAGCCGGGATTGAGCTGTCGCTTTCCTGGAATTCCCACTCTTGCTCAAACCCAGGGAACTGGTTTCCGTTCTCCCCCTGCGTGGCGCTGGATGGAGGAGGCATGCAAAGGAGAGCAGGGAAACCGCGGTGCCTCTCACGCTAATCCGCACGCTTTTCTCTCTTAAGTACCTCCCATCGAGCAAAATGTCTTCTGGAAACATATGGCCAGATGAGCCCCGGTGCCGACTCGCAGAGAGGCGAGGAGAAGTCCCGGAGCAGCGGGGGACCGAGGGAGCACGTTCACTCCTCCAGCCACAAAAGAAAACAGTGCCAGGCAGCACAAACGTCCATTAAAAGCAGAAAAAGCTGCTCCATACGAGTAAGTTTATAAACAGCTACGCCTGCTTATACACGAGTGCAGCGGAGCCTGCCGAGGACGCAGAAACACCTAAAAAGGGCCGAGGAAGCCGGGCAGAGGGGCCCACCAAGGAGCGTGCGCACCGGGACCCCGCGGCGACGCTCCCAGCCAGGCGGCCGAGGTGCACCGCGCATACGCAGCACATACATATGTGCACATATTTTATATATATATATATTTATACACATGCACACGCAGAGACAAATTGCAACCTGACTGAGCCGCACGTTCACCAAGGGCAAAGGCAGTTCTGGGCACTTCGCGAGCAGCGAGAAGAGCACGGCCGAGCGGGGCCTCCAGCATCTCCGCGGGGCCAGGCTGCTCCTCACCGCAGCACGTAAAGCTGCTGAGATTTACTCCTACAAACGTTACTATTTTTTTTCCCCTCCATATTCTCATTTCCTGACAACAGAAGACACTTAGTCTATTTTTTTCCAGCATGGTCGTTCCTTTCCCATTAATCTCTGCTACCGTACGGCCTACCCAATTCTATGGCCTAAGCAGCAGCACAGCGGTTTTCCTTCAGCCCTGCAAGGAAAATACAGTAACAGCAGCCTGGCAATGTATTCCTTCAGACACCATCAGATGTTTCCTGGAAGCGACAAGCAGCAGCGCCGGTGCAAGCAGGGGCGACGAGCAGGACCCCGGCTCCCTATCCCGGGAGCGGGCTGGACACCACCACGGACACCAACCTGCTCCGGCAGGAACGGCGGCTGCAGGACGGCTCCCCAGACCGTCCCAGTCCGTTCCCCAGTCCGTTTTAGCGCTCAGAACAGCTGCCATCCTCTCAAACACTTTAAGAGGAACAAGTCTGTAATGTCTCAGCTCACACGCTGCATTATTGCTTCGTTTGCCTCCAACACATTCTGCTTTCCAGACGGCGTCTCTCCCTTTTACTCCCCTTTTCTGCTAATCCAGAAACACTGTTTTTCTTCCTGCAGACCATGTGTGCAAATCAGACACCCTCTTGGTGTGGGAAGACGAACAGACTCGATGGTGACCGATGATGGCCCGCACCGAAGGACACCTTTTTGGGCAGGAAAACACCTGCAGATCTCACCGACAAACAGGGGACAAAACAAACCCGGCTTTTCCACCCCGGCCAGCAATTCCGACATCCAACCATTTGGTTCACCAGTGGGGGTTCCCGGTGGAGCAGGCTTATTCTTTTCTTAGACACGATAATCTAATTGGGTCTAACCAGAAATAATCCTCAGCACACACCAATTTGCCCGGGAGCCGCCTCGCTCGGCTCCGGCGCCGCTTCCCGTCTCTGCGCCGGGAAGCCGGAGCGCCGCGTCCCGCAGGACGCCGCGGCCAGCTCGGGCGCGCCACGCACATGTGTTTTAGTCATCCCGCCCCGAGCTGCGGCTTTTTACTTCTTCCTTTCCACCCACCCCCGTTCCCATGGGAGAAGGGCACCGAAGGGTACAGGGCTCCTGGCACCCGGCCGCGCTCCCTGGGCGCCGGCACCCAACAGGGCTCCAGCGGGAGCACCGGGAGAAGCGCCGCGTTTCCCTGGAAAACTCTCCGTGGAACTTTTATTCCCAACCCGCAGCGCTGCTCAGGCGGAGGGGCAACAGACGTGTTTAAACGAATGTGTGCTCAAAATATCCGTATGGAGGGCGGACAAAGCGGGGGACCCCGCTCCGCGAGGGGCCGCGGCGGGGGGAGAGGCCCGGCCGCGAGGAGGCACCGCGACCCCCCGTCCTCCTCCTCGTCCCCGCGCGGGACCCCGCGCCGCTCCCGCACAAAGGGCCGCGCAGGTGCCCCCGGCGGGGCGCGGGGCCGCGGGGCGCGCGCCGCGGACGACACAAAGGAGGCCGCGGCCGCACTCACCAGCACGACGGCGAAGCGCTCCTCGAGCTCGCCGGGCTCGGGCATGGGCAGCTTGAGGGGCGCGCTGTGCGCCCGCACCTCCGTCTGCTGCGCGTCCACGCTGCCCGCGTTGCCCATGGCGGCGGCGGCCGCTGCCCGCGCGCGCTCCGCCG